GAGGCCAATCATTTGGCTCGCCTATGTTTAAACGCCTTAGCCTAACTGAGTATCCCGATTTAAGCTTTTATCTTATGAATGAATAATAGCCAGTTGGTAACAACGTCTGCCAGCTGCATGTAATTCGCTTGCCATCCGATTCACAAGTCAAATCCTCACCTCCTCCTTGAGAGAAGCAGCGTGTTAAGCGTCATTCTACTTGTTTTGAACTGTGGAGATTAGCTCTTTATGATTGAGTTGTGGCTGGATGCAACTGCAACAGATCTTAGCTTGGCAAGCTTAGACAATCGGCATGGTAAAATCCGTCACACTTACGTTTCACGTAGCTTACTACACTCATTTAGCCGTCACTGGCACTAAAATATGAATGCATCCCTTGTATGAATATTCTGGGGTATCGTACTAGGTTTCCAAATGCAACGACATTTTAGTGATATTTGGTGGTACTCAAAGCGCATCGGATTGAGTGCGGCTTGCTAAGCAGTGCATCGTCGTTTCGATCATCCATATGCAAAACGCTATCCTCAGCGCTACTCGTACAGATCATTCCTCTAAACTACATCTGGTGACATCATCTACCACTGGGGACAAGAGTCAAATGTGCGGCCAATAAACACAAGTGATTAGCCGCATGTGCTCGATTGGGCAAAGTGGCAGCTTTGTTCGAATGCTTATGTGCAGGTTAGTGTACCTGATAGAAGTGCATGTGTTCATTCCTTGCAGAGTCTTCTTACCCTAAAGCTGATTGAACACATCGTGCTGTGCGCTAATGTGATGGTCTTATTTCCCACAAACAACTTGCAATATCAGGCCACAATGACAAACTGTGCCAGTTATAATAGTCAAAAGTTATCGACAGGCAAACTACACTGCAGTTGAGACATTGTTCCCTGTTCTTATGAGAGAATTCACTACACCATCAGAACATACAATGTTGGGCCACAGAAACAAACTTGCATCCGCATAGGGCATATACAACATTCAAAACATAAGCTTGCAAATT